TTTCTTCTAAAAGGTCTTATTCTGTGGGTGTTGTTTTAATAGGTTTGTTTTCATGAGTTATTGGGATTTTCCCCCTTAGCTTTCAGTATTCTTTTGCTGTCCTGTACTATGGCAGTTAAGCCATAATGTAACTTAAAGAGCTTCTTGTCTGTTTGTAGTTTATAAATATCTCTGGTACTTGGATGTCCATTTCTTTCCCTAGATTTAGAGAATTGTATGGGGAAAAATAATTCAATAATTCATTCTCTATCTCAGCCCCTTCTTCTGCACCATGGATTTGTAGTTTTCCCAGAGGTCTTTACATAGTATAGCCATGATTGATGTCTTCATTAGTAATTCCTCAAGCTTGTTGTCCATCCTGATTTCTTTGTTCTGCCTAGTGTAGTATATTGGTAATTGTAATCATTGAGGTTTTAGTTTAATTTAGTGAGCTTTCTATCTTTTCTATCCTTTGTTCTCTTCACTGGAATCTGTATTTCTAGGTTGAATATCCCCACTCAAGTTGTTGAGTTTCTAACCTAGGTCTTGAATTGACTTATTTTCTTCATTCATCTGTTTCTTTGAATGATTTTTAAAGGCATTGATCATTTTAAAAAACAAAATGAAAGGAAACCCTAGACTTTTGAATTATTTGGCATGTTGAGCATTTCAGGATCTTTTTAGATCTGCAGGGAATTGCTACCCTTTGGACAAATTTTACTGCTTTGCCTCTTTGGCCTCTGCATGTTTCCGGGTAGAGCTTATGTGTGTGCTGGGATGGTGTATCTTTTCTGATTTTATTATAGGGTCTTCTGGGTGGGGCCAGCTTTCTTTTGAAGGCTCTGCCACCAGTACCAGCCAGAGACAGTAAAACAAACTGCTGTAAGAATATTAGCAAAATAAATTAGATAGACAAATGCAATTAAACAAACCAAAGTCAACAACTAGACTAACAGGAACCTTAGGAAAAATAGTGTCAAGGAAACTATGAAGTTTACAAATATGAGATGGTTAAAGTAATAACAGTGAAGAATAAAATAAAGAAGGGGTAAGGAGGGAGAAAAGGAAGAAGCAAGGTTAAGTAAAAGAGAAGGAAAGGAAATAGAAACCAAAAAAGAGGAAAGAGCAAAAGATAAAAATCCGATTACGATTTGAAGAATGTATAAATGACTAGCTAAAGAAAAGAAACAAATGAAAAGCAAGAACATGTAAAGAATACAGTTTAACACAATACAAAAAATATAGTTTAAAAAATAAAAGTGATGCTTCTTAGCAATTCCCCCTATGCAGTTAAATGCTGTGTGCCCCTGAGGGCCAAGTTAGCCAAGAGTCAGTCACCTGAGAGAACTCTGCCAGACCCCACAGACTTTGCCACCCATGGTCCAGGCAGGTTCCCACTTGACCCAGAGGCCTTCAACTGGGCCTCCAGGAATGGAAGACTTCCAAGCCAAGGAGTGACCCCCCAGGCATGTGGGGATGATGGAAACAGAGCACTGAGCTCTGCACTAGGAGAGCCTGACTACCTATACATCTTGGCTCAGTTTAGCCCCTGTCTAGCAGTATGCAGCCCTGTAGTGATGGGGGATGGGGGAGGGCTGAGTGCTCTGCTAAAGCCAGGCTTCTGACTCAGGTAGTGGCCACTGAGCCCTGTTTCCACAGTAATCCTCTAGCAATAGGACCTTCACCACAGAATTGCCTACGTCCACAGCTCTGGATGTAAACAGGATCTCAGGAATGTTCAGTGCAGACCAAGCTCCCTAGTGTGATGTAAATGATGCTGGCATTCATGTAAATTGCTTCTTTGTCCTCAAAACAGTGTTCAGAATGAAAAGCAAGAGCTCTGGGACTCACAGCCCTCTGACCCAGGCAATTTATTCATCCTGTCTTAGCCTCCGTCTTTCTCCATAGAAGCGGGGGGGCAATGGGCCACTGTTCCTCCACAGCCTTAGCTCCCATTGGAATTGTTCCATGCTAACAGGTCTTCTCTTGGCCCCCTGTCAAGACGGAGACTAGATGTAGCACTGAGGCGCTGAGAGAAATGCAGTGAGTTTCCCCTCCTGACACATAGGAGAAGTCACTGTTAACCTAACCCAACCCTGGACTTTTGTGAGAAGTGAGTGTTCTTCCTGATGGTTTCTTACCCCCCAAATGCAGCTTCAGCAGGGCCTTTCACCCTTCAGGGCAGGGCTGCTGCTTCTCAACTTTTCTTTGCATCTCCTTTCTGTCCCTCTCTGCCTTTTGTCTGTAGTGTCACAATGTTTTCAATCTCCAGGATGCATCCTCTGGAATATAGTCATTACTCATTACTCATTCGTGGAGTCTCAAGACAGACCTTCTAATCTGCTGTCTTAGTGTAGAAGCCTAATAGAAATATTTGATTTAGATATTTTGAAAGAAAAAGGTCACTGATGCCAATGAAACCCTGTAGACTTACTCAATCCCATCACGCTTGCTCACCTCCAACCCCACCTTTCATACTGAGTGTTAAACATAGGACCCTGGGACCTCACACATTCAAGGCAAGCCTTCTCTGTTGGCCGCCATTCCAGCCTCTGTCCTTTGCATAAAATGCTGCCCATTTGATGTGTTATTTCATATTTTCAGATTTTTATAATAAGCAATGCGCACCAAAGCAAAGACATTTTAGCATTATTGGTTTTATTTTCAATGATGAAATTATATGTGACGGATACAAATGTAAAATTCCCTAAATGGTATGACAGCCATAGCTAACATGGTTTTAGACTAGTCTTGGTCCTAAGCAGTTTTATATTTATTAACTGTTTTCTCATTTCCCAGATGAGAAGACTGAGGCAGAGACAGAATTTGTAACTTGCCTGGGCTGTAAGTTGTGATGGATACTCTTGCTTTTCATTGGTAGCATTGTTTGAGGGAAAGGAAGCAATTTACATGAGCGCTGGTATGGCTTCCTGCACTCCGAGAAGCTTGGTTAGCACTGAACATTCCCGAGATGCTGTTTATGTGGAGAAATGCAGATCTAGTTAATTCCCTGAAGCCCTTCGACTCTGCGATTTCTGTCATGGGGCTCTACCGACTCTTCTTTTTGTTAATTCTTTGTTTCTCTGTTCTCTTGGTAACGGGGTGCTGCAGCAGACATCCCGGGCGCTGTTTCCTGTTCCTCCAGTATCTGCCATCTCTTTGAAAGCTCATGGAGGGGCAGGAGGGAAAGGAATCTGTGTTTTCAACTCTTCCAGAGATTGACAACTTAACCTTTGAGTTTTTATGTCTCACTTCTTAGTTTATGCCCGTGTTTGTGAGAGAATACATAAGCACACGCACCGCAGCCTGCCCATCTATAAAGCAGAATTTTGAGCCATAATTTTTAAAAGAAAACTAGCTTTATACAGTAAGACATCCTGCCCGCCCTATGGGCTTTCTGTTTTTCTCAGTGACTTCTGTAACAATCAGGTCAATATGGCCAGGATTTTGAATATTTGATAGTCTTCCTCATTTTTGTCCCAATTACCAGTTTAGCACTAAAACAGAAAACCCAAATGTGTATACCTGAGTAGTTGCTTAGGGTGTCACACATCTGTTCGGCCAGACACAGCTTGCATGTGGCAAAGGCCTCCCGTCAGGATGTTCTTGCAGTGGTCCCTTTATCTGCTGTGAGGGAGTCCCCTCCCCACTCCTCTGACTGTTCTTCAGTCACACAGGTGGCTGGCCCTGTTGCTGTAGAATTTGATTAAATAGCCATTGGTCTTCTCATTTGGCTGGTCCTCATTTGTCTCCACAGTAAATATGTGTGGTTCCTGTTACTCCCCAGTTTATCCTCTCTTGGCTCTATCTGAGGTTCCAGTTTCCCTGTGATGTTAATCTCATTTTTAAACTTACTCTAGTCTGATGATTGCAAATGGTAATTCACTGCTGTTTTCATTTGCATTTACCTAATTGTTGGGAGATAGAATAGTTGTTTACTGAGGTGCTTAACAGATTTGTAAGAAAGGAGATAGAGCCACGTGTGGTGGCACAAATTTGTAACCAGTCTAAAACAAACCAAAACAAAAAAAGAAAGAAAATAGTTACAGAATTGTGTTCTTGGGCCAAGCATACTGTAGGATCTTTGTGGTTCTCTTTTTCTCCCTCCCCATCCTCTGTGTGTGTGTGTGTGTGTGAGAGAGAGAGAGAGAGAGAGAGAGAGAGAGAGAGAGAGAGAGAGAGAGAGAGAGAGAGAGAGAGAGAGAGAGAGAGAGAGAGAGAGAGAGAGAGAGATGCTAAAAGATACCTTCCAGTGTCCTTCGCCGGAATTTTGTGTACCTTGGTTTTTGGAGCTTGGCTCTCACTGGGGTCTAAGCTCACCAGTCAACCTGTTGTTGTATAGCAAATTCTAGTGATCTGTCTCTTCCTTCCTATGGCTAGGTTTACCACATCTGGCTTTCTATTTGGTTCCTCAGACTGAATTTGGGTCTTCTTACTTGGACAACAAACACTTAGCTAACTGAACTGTCCTTCTAGCCCTTTAGTAGTTATTTTTTACTCTCAAATGCAAATATAATCTTTATTTTAGTTGACTTTAAAATGTTGAACAAACTGCTAAATATAATAAAGGATATTTATTATATTTTAAAATACATGAGGAGATAGGGCTGGGAGGATGGCTCAGTCAGCAAAGTGCTTGCCTCGAAATGTGGCATCCTGAGTTTGATACCCAGGACCCACATAAACATACTAGGCATGATAGTGCACTGGTCACCACAGTGCTAGGGAGATGGAAGCAGGTGGATCCATAGAGCTTGCTGGTCAGTCCCTGGGCTAGAGTCCCAGGCAGCAATAAACTCCGTGTCATAAAATAAGGTGATGACGCATGCACATACATGTACACATGCATATATTAAAAACCAAAACAAAAGAAAGGCACAAGGATATAAATAGCTCTAGTTCCAGACCACCACTATAGGCCATTTCCATCACTTTCAACCTCAGGTGGAGAGGCAGCTCCATAAAGCCTGTGAAACTCTGCTACATCTCCAGTGCGTCCTGTTTCTCTGGTCTTCCCACAGGCAAGAATTCGTGGATGCTTATGTGAATTATGTTTTCCAACTCTCAGTTCATGAGTGGTACACAGCCTTCGCCAGTGGCTTCCTGAAGGTGTGTGGGGGCAAAGTCCTAGAGCTCTTCCAGCCTGCAGAACTGCGGGCCATGATGGTGGGGAACAGCAACTACAACTGGGAAGAACTGGAAGAGGTAAGCGCTGGAGAGCAGCAGCATCCTGGCAGGTGCCCTGGGGTCTCCTGCCTCCCGGTGATTTCCATCTCAGATGCAAGTGGTACCCAATGTGCGTTGTAAGGTTGTCCTGATTCTGTCTAATACATGTTTTGTTTTGTTTTGTTTTTTCTCTTTTGGACAGACTGCCATCTATAGGGGTGATTATTCAGGCACACATCCTACTGTGAAACTATTTTGGGAGACATTCCATGAGTTCCCACTAGAGAAGAAGAAGAAGTTTCTCTGTAAGTATCACATCAGTGGGTTGTCCATATTTTAGACGTCATGTAGGATGGTATATCTCACAGGTAAAGGTTGACTTCTAAACGGCTAGGTAATAAAGAAAACTCAGCTTCAATGTATTTGCAGTATATTAATAAAATGTATTGTAGACTGTTAGTCCACATATGTGAAACAAGAAGATAAAAGTAATTAAAGAGTCATTTCACTGATCTTCACTTTCTCTAAAAATAGTAGTTGCTTTAGGTGAAAGCATTGATTCATGCTTCTGGCCCGAGCTACTTGGGCGGTTGAGACAGGAGGATAACTTGGGCCCAGAGTTTAAGGTCAATGTGAGCAACATAGTGATAGCCTGCCCTGCCCCCCCCCCAGTCTAAAAAAAATTAGTCTGGAAAGATTCTAGATGAAACTGAGCAGATCTGACTTATTAAAACTTTGTTGTGATATGAATGATTCAACATTCACGTTCCCTGTTTTCAGTATCCAAGCTAGGAGGTTTTAGTGTATACAGGGTAGTAAGCCTATCATAGAACATCTCAGAAAGAAACTCCATCCCTTTCAGAATCGTTACAGACATTTCTTGGAAATAGAATCATACGTATGTAGTCCTTTGTAACTGGCTGCATGACATTTGAGTATGACAGTAGCTTTAGAGAGTAAAATGGAGTTATTTTCCATGATCAAATCCAGCAATCAGGAGGCAGACACAGGTGAATCTCTATGAGTTCCAGGCCATCCTGATCTATAGAGTGAGTTCCAGAATAGCAAGGACTGTTTCACAGAGAAACCTTGTCTCAAAAAGCCAAAAAAAAAAAAAAAAGAAAAGAAAAGAAAGAAAGGAAGGAAGGAAGGGTTCGATCTTTTTGTCTACATCTGTGTAATCAGGCCCTTAAATCAGCCAGTGGATAGAATACGATTTTTTTTTTGTTGGCATGAAAGAAAAAATGGTTTTCTTATTTGCTTTCTAAAAAACAGGCAGATATTAGTATTAATGCAAGACTTATCTCTAGGTTCTGCTGCTCATAGAAAATGAGGGGAAAAACAAAACGGTATCTTACAACAGAACTCCTGCTTGTGCTCATGAGCTATTGAGAAGCAGTGTCGTGCAAGTTGATGAAGGCAGGGTTGGGCCGCCAAGTGACTGTGGAAAGCTCTTGTTACTGTCAGGGGAAGCCTTCCTTCTGGTCCTGGGAGTTTCCTTAGAAAAAGGCATTTCTAGTTAGACAGCATTCAATTTAAGGCATTTGTTGTGTGTTCGTTGCTGTTGCATTATTAATTCTGGAAGTTTGACAAGATTGGTTATATGTTATTATGCCTTAGGCAAGGGCAGGTTGTTTGCAGTGGCTGATGAGGGCTGCCAGAGAATTAGTAGCAGAGTCCTTGCCTGGCATGTAAAAGGCCCTGGGTTCAAACCCAACACCACCACAAAAAGAAAAAAAAAAGAGGAAAGTAAATAAATGGTTAATGATTTCATTGTGGTAATTTCTGGCACATCCAAAGTGAAAGAAAGCAAAACAGGAACAGCCACAAAAAGCATTCTGCAGTGCTAGGACACAGGGGAAGACAGCTGTGTCTGTCCATCTACTTTGTGCTGAGAATTCAGTTATCTCTGCCAAGTAGCAATGCGTCAACGGCATAAAGAGTGTGTGGGTCGGGTCTTCCGGTTAATGAAAGGGAGGGAGGTGAAGACGATTCCCTAAAGGGAAACAGCAGCCAGGTGGCTCTGTTCTCAGACACCTGAGGTAAGAGGAATCCTGAGTTCTTTTCTGGTTTCCTATACAGGAAGACCCCCCTTTTCCTATGACAATTCCTTTCTGCTTTGCTTTTGTGAAGGTTCGTCTATGAGGACGTGTGTTCTATAGAAGGCCCTAGAGCCATGTCTGAGCATCCAGTATTCAGGCACAGACATGTTGGTGCATAAATAATGTTGTAGTTCCCATGGAAGCCACAGGGTGTCATGCCTTCCTCTGTTGCCTGAAAGAATGTTTGCATAGCCTTTGATGCCATTTTCTTGTCTTCAGTGTTCCTGACAGGCAGTGACCGGATTCCCATCTATGGAATGGCCAGTCTGCAGATTGTCATCCAATCCACAATCCATGGGGAGGAGTACTTACCTGTGGCCCACACCTGCTACAACCTGCTTGACCTCCCTAAATATAGCAGCAAAGAGATGATGAGGGCTCGGCTGACCCAGGCCCTCGACAATTATGAGGGTTTTAGTTTGGCCTGAGGCTCCCCAGCTCACCCAAGATGTCCTTACCTTCCTCGGTGACCACATTGTAGTTGATTCAAAATATCATGGGGAGTGATTTCTATTTTTTTATTGTCTAAGTGGATTGAGACTTTTGAATCCTAAATCCTGGTCAGTGTGTTTCTAGGATTCAGTAGTTAATAGTCCTTTTGAAAAATCAGTGGTTGGGGACAGGCCCAAAAATTGGCTTTAGTATGGGAGGTGGATTGGATTTTGCTTTGCTTTGTTTTAAACCAAGGTACCTGTTGTCCTTCGTCTGTGAATGTGTTGGGATCTGCTGGATTAAATTGCAGTAGGTTTGTAAGCTTTTGTTTCCCAGATGTGTTTCAGCCCTGATGTTTCTTCTCCATGCGTCCCCACCCTCTTCCTAGCTTCTGTCTGCTGTGCCGAGATGACTGATTGACATCTTCCCTCTTGGCTGCCATGCAGAGCACTCCCTTTCTCTGCACCTTTGGAAATGCATGGCTAGCTGCAGCCCACTCCAACCCACAGCAGAATGGGCTTCTTCAGAACTCCCAATCCCAAAAGGCTGAGTCTGGGTCCGTTACTTGTCATAGCTCTTGAGACTTTACAGGAGCCTTTACGAATACATTCTGCTTTAAGAAAATAAGTCATGAAGGAGTTGCAGCCTTCCGTGACTGCCCACTGCCTAGGCCTCCCAAAAGACACAGCAGCCTCAGGTGGCAGGTGGCTGCATGTGTATTGTTAGCCATGACACCTGAGTAGACAATGAATTAGTAGACCCCTTTACCTTGCTTTTGAAGCAAGTTGTATTTTCTTGTCTACATATTGCCCAAGAACGGTATAATTAATAAACTTCTGTCCCTTTCTTTATTACTTTATATTTACTGCTTCTCTTTCTTACCTTTTCTTTCCTGTGTCCCCAGCGCTTCCTTTCCTTTGGTCTCTTTTCTCCCGTGCAGAACTAATTGCATCAGTTCTCCACCTCCTTCTGCTAGTGGATGCATGCTGCCTTTTTTATTTTAAATTTTTTTAAATTTCACTTCTGTCTCTAACTGTTAGAGTATGAAGATACTCTTTACAATAGAGTTTTTGTTTATCGCATTTGAAATGTTCATTTACGGTGGGATTTCAGCAGGGGAATTATGTTTAAGTCAAATACATGTGTCTCAAAAATGACATGTTTAGCTGATCTCCATTCGATAAGAAAATCCTACATGATCAAAGAGCTCATGTAATGCTAATTTTAAATATGTAGTTGCTAGAGAAAAGATTTATTTATATAAAATGAAGTACATATAGATTGTGATGCAGTATCAAGTCTTGATGGAAGGAATGTAGATTTTTGCTTTTTCTTTTTGTTTTTAAAAGTTACTTTTAAAAGTTACTCCAATTGGTAGTTTTTCAGTCCTTATAAATACAACATTTAAAAAAGATAGACAATTATATGAAATGTTTATTTTCTATGTGTGTGCATATAGTTCAATATTATCCAATAAATTTGGTGTTTTAACTTAAAACAGTTTTGTATTGTCCTTGTGGGATGGACAGTGTGCTTTCCATGGAAGCATTAGGTTTTCCAGCCAGAGGAATTGAGTGATTCCTGCCAAAAGGAGGTGGAGCCAAGAACTCTACAAGTGGTTTGGAAAGAGACGGGAAAGAATGGGAATGGTGAAGGTTGTTAATGTTCAAAAAGCATTTCCCAGAGAGGGAGAGGAGTTAGCAAATGCACAAACATAGGAGAATACTTAGGGAAGAGCCTGGGAGAGTTTGAGGGGTACACCAGAAAAGAGAATGATGACAAAACTGAGCGGGAGGGAGGACCTCAGGGCCCAGAGTCAGCTTTTAGGAATGGCTCCATACAATGTGTTCAAGAATCCAGAACTGGAGTGATATGGCATGAACTTGGAAAATGTGGGTGATGAGATTTAGAGGAATGAGAGCGGGAATGGCAGAAGCAGAAAGCTGCTGTAACATTAAGGGGGTGACAGTGGGATGGAAAGGGCATTTGAATAGCAGAGAAAGGGAAGGGGAGAGGAGGAGACACTGAAGTGAGACAGACTTGGTCTTCTCATGCTAGTCAGTATTAGCCTACATGCACAGTCCGTGTGTTGAGCCCAGCAAGAAAGCATTTTCAATAAATTTAACACAGTATGATGTATTGTTTTGACAGAGTTAAGCAGGTGGTTTAAAAGTAATAATTGGTGAGATGGCTCACTGGGTAACAGCACCCACCTGGTGGACAGAAAGAACCAACCTCTGAAAGTTGTCCTTTGACTTCTACTTGTGTGACATGGCGTGTGCATGCCTATAGACACACACATACACACAAATATATATAATAAAAAATGAAATGCAAATAATGAGAACAGAAGCTTTTTAGTGCTAAGATTCATTCAATAAACATTTAGTAACTTACATAGGTGCTAAGTTTAAGGGAAATATTTTCCTTGTATGTTAAGTTTAGAACACAAACAGGCAAGCTGTTTCAATTTTTTATTGTACAGTTTATTTCTTCAATAATTTTTGTGTTTCTAATTTTTCCAATTTTAGATCAGTGCATTCATGCAAGTAACATTTTTTTCCTAATAATTATTTATGTCACAAACTCTAATACTTTTGGTCTTCAACATTCAGGTTTTTCACATTTCCAAAGCTGATAAAAGTAGATTGAGATCATTATCCTTCTAAACAATAAGTCTACAAGCTCACAGATGAAACTGGCTAAAACCATGCTTTCTTATTATTTATTCATGGGTTAAGTAACTTAGCAAGTATTTGAGAAAATAAATTGTCTTTTGAAAACATTTGGAGGTTAACTTTTAATCATTTAACCTTTAAAAAGAAAACAAATAACAACAAAACCTGTATCCAGGGAATATGCACAGCACATAATATTTCTGCCGTAGAGGTCACCCTCTAGGAGGCTCTGATGAGGTAAGGAAAGCAATCTTAAGTTCTCACACTAATTCTTCAGGGACCTCCCAGGGAAGGCACAGCCCAGCTAACGTGTGCCTGAACTATTTCATCCTCAAGTAGCGTACGTTTGTTTTTTGCTTTAAAAACATGGTCATTAATTCTTTGAGAATTTCATACAATGCATTTTGATCATAGTTTTCCCAGATCTACCCCTCTTCCCTACCCCCTTAGCTTTCCATTTCCTTTCTTTTAAAGCCATGGTGTGTAATTTGTGTTGCTCAGATACTCTTGGGTGCACCTGCCCTGGGGAGTGATCATTCACTTAAAGAAAATTGACACTTCCTATCAAAGCAGCTATCAAATGTCAATGGCTTCTCAGCTAAGGATGAAGAACCTAGCTTGAGCTTAGATACAGGTCTTGTGCTGTCACAATTCTAGCTGGAGTATGTGTACATCTGTCCTATTATGTCTGGTTTAATTGTTGTTATCTAACACTCCTGTATCTTATAATCTGTCTTCCAGAATGACCCCTGAACCTTGAGAGGAGGGGTATGATATAGACATCTCGTTTAGGGCTGAAGAGTGAGAAATATCTTTTATTTTCTGCACATTCACTAGTTGTGGGTCTCTATGTAAATTGCCATCTACAGAAAGAAGAAGGTTCAGGGTTGAGGGATGCACTGATCAATGTGCCTAGCACTGAGTCATTAGGAGTTCTAATACTATCTGTCAGAATAATTGTAGTAGGTTCTACCCTAGGCCCTATAGCTTAACCAACCACAGGTTCTTGGTCACATCAACAGTGCCATCCATGTATGGGTTCCATCTCATGGAGTGAGCCTTATATCCAACCAGAAGTTGGTTACTCCCATAACTTTCATGGCATTGTTATAGGAGTAGGTAGATCTTAGATCTTGCCAGAGCAGTCGTTATTATAACTTGCAGGTTCATAACTGGGTAACAATGATGATTATCTTTCCTAGTAGTTTGCATAACACCTTTCAGCACTATGAAAGCTACCCAGTAGGGATGAAACTTCAAGTCAGTACAGCTTGATTATTTGTCCATGTTCTAAGACTCAAATGATGATTTAGCAATAAGGTCTTCCTATCAACTAGTTCTGGAGGGTAGCCAAGAAATTTGGCAATAGCCTGTTATGTTTGGGGGGATCAAAGTGATTCCAATGGCTAATAACTCAAATGATAACCCATTCATGGTTCTGGATTTTTTATTTGTGTTATCTGGCTGATTATTGTCCCGTGTTATAGGATAACTCCATTTCATATCTCTTCCCATGGCCTCTTACTAGTTTCCTAACCTGTAGGTATATTCCAAATGAAGTCACATAGTTAAAGATTTAAAGCCAACATCCACATAGGAAATTTTTTAGGTCCAGGCTATGTCATTCAGAAGGATTTCCCCTGACTCCATCCATTTACCTGCAAATTTCATTTATCTTAAAAGCTAATACTCCATTGTATAAATTATACTGCATTTTCATTATCCATTCATCAGTTGATGGATGTCTAGGTTGTTTCCATATCCTTCCTATTATGAATAAAGCATCAATTGATGTGAAAGAGCAGTATCTTTATAAGATGTACAGTCCTTTGGGCATAGGCCCAAGAGTGGTATAGCTGGATTAACTGGTAGATAGATACTCTTCTCTCTCTCTCTTCAGCCTCCCTCCTTCCCTCCCTCCCTCCTTCCCTCCCTCCCTCCTTCCTTCCTTCCCTCCCTCCCTCTCTGTCTCTCTGTCTCTGTCTGTCTGTCTGTCTGTCTGTCTGTCTGTCTCTCTCTCTCTCTCTCTCTCTCTCTCTCTCTCTCTCTCTCTCTCTCTCTCTCTCTCTCTCTCTCTCTCTCTCTCTCTCTCTCTCCCCTGATTCCATAAGGGCTGTATCAGTTCATGAATTATTGTCCCCTTTTCCCCACATCCACCCCAGATTTTGTTTTTATTTGCTTTTTTTTTAATCTTTTGTCTAACTTAGCAATTCTACCTAGGGTAAGATGAAATCTCAAAGTAGTTGTAATTTGCATTTCCATGATGGCTAAGGATATTAAATATTAGGAACTGTTTCTCAGCCATTTATATTTCAAAATTTGAGAGCCCTGTGTTTACTTTCATGCTTTATTTTTGAATTCCATTATTTTCCTGATGTTTAGTTTATTTTAGTTCTTTGTATTTTTTGTAGATCGAGTCCTCTGTCTGTAGTAGACATATAGCTAGTAAAGATTTTTCTCATTCTGTGCTTTGCAGAATTTACTTGAATGATGGTGTTCTTTGCTGTTCAGATACTTGTAATTTCATGAGCTCCTATTTGTCAGTTGATGGTCTTAACGCCTATGTTTCTCTGGTCCTATTCAGAAAGTCCTTCTCTGTGCCAATGAGTACTCTATTTGTCTTCTATCAGATCTGGGGTATCAGGTCTTTTGTTGAAGTCTTGGGTCCATTTGGAGTTGAGTTTTGTGCAGGTTGGTAGGTAACAGTCTATTTTTATTCTCCCACCTACTGTAGAAGGAGAGTTTTCTCCATCTATCTTGGTCCCACTAAATTGGTTTTCCTCCACCCATGGAGTCCCTTAGCCACTTAAGAAATAACCACTCAGAGAGTCAATATATGTTTATAATTGTTTGGCCATTGGCTTAGGTTTCTTACTGTCTAGCTCTCTCTTAATTATTAACCCATTACTATTAATCTGTGTATCTCTACGTGGTGTGGCTTACCTAGGTGATGCCCTGGGATCCTGCTCCCTGGTGGCTGCATAGCCACCTTTGTCTTTGTTCCCCTGCCTCTTTGGAATTCCCACCTAGCTAAGTTCTGCCCATCATTTGGCTAAAACAGCTTTATTCATCAACCAATAAGAGAAGCATACATTCACAGCATGTAGAAGGACATCCCCCATCAACCTACAGCTATCTAACTTGACCAGAGCAATTTGAAGAGACTGTGTTTTCTCCAGTGTTAGTTTTGGCTTACGTCTACACCCTCAATTCTCATCCATTGATCGATGTGTCTTATCCTTTTATGCCAGTTCCATGCTGTTTTATATTATTATTCCTCCAAAATATAACTTAAAACCAGAGATGATGATATCTTCAACAGTTCTTTTATTGTTCAGGACTATTGTTCCTACCAATCCATGCTGTGTATCTTCTTCAATTTCTTCAGTGTCACAAAGTGTTTTTATTATACAAGTCTTTTGGTTCCTTAGTTTCTTATTCCGAAATACTTTTTGAGGCTATTGTTTGTTGTTTGAATATGGCAAGGCTACTGATTTTTGCATATTAATTTTGTATTCTGCTACTTTACAGTTGTAGGAATTTTCTGTTGGAGTTTTTGAGGTCTTGTTAAGTGTATAATCATCTTGTGTACAAATAAGGATCCTTGGACTTCTTCCTTTTCTTTTTAAATCTTCTGTTGTCTTATTGTGTTGAGTTAGAAATTTAGAGAGCATAGGCGCCCCTGTTTTGTTCCTGATTTTAGAGGAAATGCTTTTGAGTTTTTCTCCACTTAGCATGATATTAACTGTGAACTTGTGTGTTTCCATATTATATTGAGATCTGTTGCCTATATCCTTAGTCTATCTGGAACTTTTATCGT